AAAATTCACACTGAATTATTCTAGGCTTAATTCCAAATGAAGGGGTCACAAAGGGTGAGCTGTAGCTTAAGTTTAGTTGGGTGTCAAATTCGTGTAGCTCGTACTTTACTCTCGTAACTCGTATAGCTGATGTCGTCACAGTCAGTTGGGACGGTCACAAGTGAGCCTACCTGCGGCATTTCCACCACTGGTTGTTTTTTCCTGAATCGATCACCATTGGTGGAACAAGGCAACCGGGACGGACTCATTCCGCCCCTCCTGAAACCCTCCCTGGTGACTGTGACGTCATTAATTACATGTCCCTGGGTTTTATTACCTGCATTATTTGCATTTATATGACCCGAAGGTATTTGGGTCTATTCAGGCGAACAATCTTGCACTTCTAAAACTTGCACTTCTAAAACTGAACCGTCGGATTCCAACGTCAGCCATAATCCAGACAACTGACATCCGCCGTCATTCGGGTCCCTTATAACAGGTTATTATTTTCTTCGAGACATAAACTGATTTCAGAGGTGCGCTGCGGTTGCTATGCGAAACGAAACAAGAACAGGTGAGTCTTGTTATCATGTGGACTTAATTTGTGGGCTATGGAGGGTTTATGGGTTGACATTTCTCTAATGGTACCGTAACGAGGGCGTAATGTCTTTTCGTGGTTTTTGTAGGACTTTTTGAATGTAGCGAGAGATTGTTGAGCTCGCCATGTCCAATTGCTGCCCCTTGTTACATAATTGCTTTTACTTTGACATTTAAAGGCATATTTCGCGATGTTTTTTCTGCAGGCCGCAGACAGTAGAGCATAGGTAGTACATAGAAATAGTAAATAGTAGAAATGAGCTGTACCTATTGGGATATCTGTAAGAAATGCAAAAAAAAGAGTCAAAAAGCACTTCGAAAGGTCCTACTATTTTTGAATTTCAGGAAAATATGTGGCCGAAGAGCCAGAGGCACGCCATCGCACTTTTATGAATTCTCTGAAAATTAGCGACCCACCCCCTGCCCAGCCCTCTGCGCTCCTGTCCTCATGGAACCGAAACCGCCGAGCGGGGTGGGTCTTACAAAGTTAAACTTGTCAATTTCAAGTGTCGAAATAGGTAATGGCGTCATGACTGACCAAGTACACGGACCCCCCCCTCCAAAAATGGATCAAGTCGCCCCCGCTTACAGCGTCCATGAAACAAGAAATCAAACTATCAAAAAAAATTTTCCCCTGACCATAATACGACCCCCATGCTTTCGGCGGTCAAATAGTACCCCCACCCTTGTGATGAGAGCCAGAATGCCACCTATCCGTCGGCAGATGCGTCGAGTCGGTTGCAGCCGGTCGCCAGCTGTCGCCGGAATGTCTCTTTCTGCCCTTCAGTATGTGACCGGGATCCCGGTTCCACCCTCATGAAGCTTTTCCCTCTGGATAGTTTTTTCCTCTTTTCCCTCCTGGCACCGATCTGGCCCCGGAAGGATAATAACTGGCTACACGTTAACTAGCCTGCGAGAGTTCTGAATTGAACAAGAATGCACATCGCAGACTCTGCGATTCTCTGGGCGAAAAAAAGGTTTGGCGTCTTAGCCGGAGCCCATCTTCCCTCGTGTAAGAAGACACACCGGCGAGGGAGGTGCATTCAGCCGTTGGGCAGAAGGGATCGATCTGGTATCGGGAGAAGTTTCTGGGATTGTTATTTTCCCAATTTCACGCGCTATATCTTCCCCTCACTCGACGGGAAAACTTGGTGAGATGGTGAGGGCCTGGCTGGCCGCGAAATGAGCCATGAAGTTTTTGCTATGGGTAATCGCCCTTTTGTGTTGGTCATGGGACAGTTTTTGCCATTTCCTATCGATTCATGGCACAACTGGACACAACTTCTGGACAAAGGCTTTTTGAAAATTCGCTTGGCTCTTTCCCGATAGATAACTCCTACCGGAGCTCTCCCGAAATCAACCCCCAAGAATCCAGTGAGCGCTAGGGGATTCCATTCTATTGAATAGCATTTGAAATGTTTTGGAAATACTCACATTCGCCTCGACTACCAGCTAAAAGTCCTTGCAAGTAGCAGTGGTAACCACTTCTTTACCTGAGAGACCGATGAGTACACTCCTTATCCCTAAGATGGAGTAGGCGTGGCTTTTGAGCATGGCATAGGACGGGTTTCTCGTGGGATACTTCAATTTGAAACAACTGCTATCTTGTTCTGTGTTAGATGTAGACATGATTACGACTGCTCCAAAATGACAATATCTCACGAAAACCTGGGCCGCCGCCATTTTAAAATCAAGTACGCAGCCACGCCTACCCGATCTCAGGGATTTCGAGTATAATCTGTTACAATCACCTTTCTCGTGAAATTGAACCGTTTTTCAGATCACCAGGCAGCTTCCGACATCGCCAACGTCAGCATTTACGACGACGCCGGCTTCACTACAAATCACATCAACGTCTCCCATTGTACGAAATGCACCAAAAACGAATAAATAGAATTTGTTTTGAAAAATTGTGTTGGTTCAAACAAATAACACTGGAGTGGAAGGCGCTGCTTTCTCGTGAACATGAACCGAATCCAGTCGCGAAGCAGTCAGGCAGCTGATCCCTCTGGGCAGGTGGTTGGTAGAGGACCCCTATAAGGACAAAGTACGAACATTGGCGTCAAAGCTTCACGCGTCTAGACAATCCGTAATCCCGGAACATGGACGGAGGCGTGGCCTGCATTACTTTATCTTGAACATTACTTCGTGGGATAATTTCATTTGAAACGAGTGTCTTAATAATGCATCCTACATCATGCTCAAGTAAGGTACACAGCCACGCCTCCTTCATCTATGGATATGGAGTGTAAGTCAGTTCGCATCTGAGCACTCGTGCCACTCGAAATTGAAGTGAGATGCGTGGCACATCGCATTCCAAAGATCATCCCATAAGAGGATCCCATCCCAAAGAGAAATTCTCCGACTTCGACCGAGTTTGCAGCAACGGAAGCGCGGTTCGACTTGGGGGGGGGAGGCGAGGGGAGGACATTTTGCACGTTTGTCGTGTTCATTGCTTTACAAGAGTTGACAGGTATTCACTACAAAAGTTGGCAAGTGCTCTCTGCCAAAGTTGACCGGTATATGACTGGTATCGTTTCATAGCTTCACGAGATTCCACAGATTCTACTTGATGTCTCGAAATGCGCATGGGAAGTAGCAGTTTCTCCCCCCCCTTCCCTCTAGGCCGAACTGCGGTGCAGCAGATGCCATTCTTCAAACTGCAGTCATTTGTCTGTGCAGCCATACGTGTTCTGCTTCAAGCCAATCAAGACTTTTTTCTCGGTGACCTGGCACAAATTGACACCGGAGAGATGAGAAAACTGACTTCATGTTGACTGC